CACAATTACCCTAATTTGTTCCAAAATGCTTTTCCAGGTGTTTCTTATTCATGCTCGCTTTTATACTCTTGTTGCCCAACCCCAACTTTTTTTAGATTAATTGTTGGCATGAAATTCAAAATTACTTTTTGGGGATTAGTGGTGTGGAGGTTAGATAGGGTGAGCCAGTGACAGGAGGTTGCAGGTTTGAATACCCAGACCGGTGCAAAAAGATTTGGATGGGCAAAGCAAAGCCCCCACATCTGGCTACACCTTTTTTTTTGTTTTGTTTTAACATTGGATACATGTGTTATTTTCTCTTATGAATAAAATGTGGGTTTATGAGATTTGTGAACCATTTCATTTTGTTTTTATTTACAATTTACAAAATGTGCCAACTTTTTCAGAACTGACAAGTACACTGAAAGTTGTCAAACAGCCTGGATGGACGGAACATTTTGCAAGTTGCACGATGGGATTTCAACCTTAAAAAGTGAATGTCCCAAGATACCGTCTCCACATAAGGAAGTGTATCACTTTCTGCTCCTGCTTTTATGAATAAAAGGTGGCTGATGAACCTAGAAGATATGAGGAATTCAAAAAGACAAGAGTGGTGTGCTCTCCGAATATTGAAACTCTGCAACAGGTGTCTGAAACCTTTTGAAAAAAAAAAAAATAATAAAATCTACCCTTTTCCCACTAAATAAAATATGTCCGGAGCTGCAAAACCTATTTTAATATTAAAATACAGATTAAAATATGGATTAGTTACTAATGTTATACAAATACAAAAATAGTTTGTTTCATTCTGAAATTTAGGTACTAAAATAAAATGTTATAGTATGTTTTACATTTTAGGACAAAGGGAAAGACTCAACTCTTATGAACAAAGGAAAAACGTGTCTGTGATAAAATTTACTCACTGAATTATTGATGCCTTTGTGAGTCCTTACGATTATTGTAAAAAATTAAAAAGCACCCCAATTTGAAATAAAAACGCATGTATTTGCATCTTGGTAAATTATTTGCGTAAACATAAAAACTAAGACAGAATTTTTGGACATCGAAGTGTGATTCACTGATTTATTTTTTTTAAATAAATGACTCCCTTCACTTATTGGGTTAGTGAGATATTTTGCTAACAGACAACCAGGATTGACTGCAACAGTTAATGCAAAGGTTTTCAGCAAAAAAATAAATAAGTAAAAATGTGTTGCACTCAAAGTGTGTGTTGGGGGGTTATGCTCACAGTCAACCACCCCAAATTTTAGCTCAATATTTTTACAATTTAGTTGAGTTATAGCCATTTTGTGTTTTCTAAGATCAATTGGCAGTGGTAGCCATCTTGAAGTGGAGAGTCTAAAAGTTAAAAGTACTTTAGTTAATGATTACTTTCTGAAAGTTTAACTTAAGTTCAATGTTTGCAGTATTTCATTTTCAGTGATTTTTTTTTACCTCAAGAAACAAAAAAAGAAATTGATCTTATTTCATAGTGCAGCATCCTTTGCAGACTTTTGCGCTGTATTCTGCAAAGGAAACATCTTTTTCTTTAGCTCTGTGCACAAAGAAAAGTCAGAAAACGCATTGAGGCAGAATGTCATAATGAAGGATTACATTTCTGGTGATCCCTGTCTGAAACTCCGCAGGCATGGCTTCATCTTAAAATAAATCTTTACAAATGACACAGTTTAGCAGCGACACGCGGGTCCGCTGCCTCTCACGCACGCGCTCCGCACAGGAAAGATGACATCATGTTGGGTCAGCCAGGGTTTTAGTGCTCAGTTTGTGCCATGAACATCTGCCATTTCCACAGCGCCGTTTTACGCTGCTTATTTACGCAATAATGCTGATGACTATAGCATTTACGCCAGGAATAACTCGTAAGATAAACAAACAAGGAAAAATGAATGCGCGCGTTTTCTTTTGTTTGTACTGAACTAATGCATATTTCCTGCACGACTTATCATGCGACAAAAAGAAAGAAATTAAAAAAAAAAAAGCATGAATGGTGCACGTCTGAGCAGCCATTTGTGACTAAACGCGTTGATAGTAAAATCCCACTCACAACAATGGAAGGCACCACAGTCATTCTGAACGTTTTACACACGCGCTGCATGACAAAGCTAAAAAATTTAAAAAAAAAAAACACGACACCGAGGACAAGTTATTCAGCATCCTGTCGCCTCTTTTGCCTGACACTTCACAACAACCTGTCACACGTTGCGTACTCACCACCTAAAGAAAGCTGCTTCTTCTCCTTCACCGACTTCGTCGTTTTATTTAAGCAGGTGGGGAAAACGAGCAAGTGTGTGAGCAAAGCCCGGCGCCAGCTGCTGGTGTGGGTTACTTTACTTACCACCTTTAAGGACTAAACAACAAAACCGTTCAGTCCACGGCGGTCAGTTCCCCTTTTAAACCCCACTTTAACGGCGCTGACATGTAGCTACGGGGTAGCTTTAGCTGCTGACACGACAAGAGGAAGTGTCATTTCAGTTTGTGAGCGCGAGGCTTTAGCTTAACTGTCAGTGCGCGCGGGGGGCAAACGGTGAATACAACGGAGAGATAAATAAATAAAAAAAGACTCACCTTTGTTAAAAACTCGCACTGGTTAAAAAAACACGAGCACTTGAAGAGCATTTAGTCCGTCTCTGGAGACGTCGGTGTGACTTCGCGAAGTGCTGTCAGTTGGTCTGGACTTCCTGAATAACGGAGCAGCACGAGAACAACCCCTCGCGCTCACTGTTTGACACTTTGACAGGCAGCCGGAAGTGAAGTTGTCTGCTGAGATAAAAGCATGCGCACTTTCCCGCACTTGGTGCTCCGCTCTAAACAACTTTACAACTAACAGACTGGTGCACAAAAAACATATATATATATAAAAAAAAATGGAATAAATTAAAGCGTGACAAATTATATCAACGGTGCTACTTTCATTATATATATTTTTTTTAAAATTAAAAGTAAAATTAAACTGGAACGTCCATTACTGTTGTAGCTGCTGCCTTGTTTTCTTCGTGCATCATTAAAATGCATGAACTGAGTCATCCAGATTCTGTTGCAACTTCTGTCCCTGCAAACAAGTTGATTTCCAGAAAATACTCAGGCCAATGCTGCCACCTGATGCCCGATTGTGGAAGGTCAGCAGCGTGCTAAAAATAAACACTACTCAGGTGTTAAATAATCAGTTTATTAAAACACATTCATCCTAATATAAAACACAATGATATCCATAAGCATATTGTGAATACTTGCCTGTAAAGTATGGATTTTATTTAGTTTATTTCCATCATGCCTGGCCTTATTATACTATTAGTTTGACATTTAATCGAATTATAATTAAATATATTTGATCCTATTTAGTTATTTTATGCTTTCCTATGTATTTTAGGGAAACAATTGCAATTTTTATTCTCTCTCGCTCTCTCTTCCTCCTTAGTGTCTATGTTTGTTTTTCATTTTTATATTTTATACCTACGTCTAGTGTTTTTAGCTCAACTCTCTTTTAATGGGTCTTATATGTGTTTATGTTGCTTACTGCTTTTTAATCTGGTGTTGCTGTGTCACACTTTGTTGTATGAAAGGTGCTTCTTTAAAAAAAATAAAAAACTTTGATTAATTGATTGGGGGGGGGGGGGGCACCACAAATTATCTTAATGGAAGAATAGGAAATTAAACGGTTGGGGGGGGTGGAGTTCAAGTATACTACATTTTACAAAAACTGGTATTCATATAAGTAACAACAAATTGCATGGAGTCATTAATCCAAATCTGACCGTATGAAGGAGATCAGAACAAACGTGCAGTAGAAATAAAAGTGTGTTTACAGCTATCTGTAAAACATGGTGGTGGGTTTGTCATGGTCAGCATGGTGTCTCAGATCTCTGTTCTTCATTTTGTAGTTCTAATGAGCTGGAGCCTCCCATTGCCAGTGGGATATTTGTACGCCTGTTACAAGTGGCTAGTCCATCATGAACCATGTGCAAATGTATACCAGCTGACAGTTTGTACTCTTAGGCTTTGTGAGGAAACTTTAACTCAGTAAATGCAAGCAAACAGACTCATGCATGCACACAACATAAAAAGCCCCACTGAGACAACTAAAAAACTGGGTATTATTAAACAGTATTACATGAATAATAACAGGATCCAAGGGTTTGCGTTCTTTTTATTTAATTATCGCCAGTGGAGACCCAACTACAGGTTTTAATGACCTGGCTCTCCCTCTACCCCAAAAGCTTTATTGTTAGTCATTCTCTTGACCTGCTTTCAGCCAGGTCAGAGTTACTGAGGGAGTATAACATTATCACATCTGTAATCTGACAAGAAACAGGGTAGATCTTGAATAGGTCAGCAGTCCGTCACAAGGTTTAAACATAAATGAATATTAGAAACTCACACTAATTCATAATTCTCTGTTCACTCTAATTTGAAAGTGTTTGAAGTGTATGAAGAAAACAGCCTTTGTGTCATCTTCAAATATGACAGATTGTATACCTTTAATATATTTTTATGTTATTTAAGAAAACCAAACAAACCACAAGACTGTGACATAACCATGACTACATGTCATGTTTGTCAATGAGAAATGATTCTCAACAAATAAAATGAAAAAAAGGCATACAGGAGAATTTTTTCAGTAAAAAGTTAAACGTGCTAATTTGCTTTGTATTGGCTTGACAAGTAAAATTGCAGCAAAACAAAGTCAAGATTTTTTTTGGTTACATTTTTTAAACATGGGTGCAAGACATTAAAAATATAAGTAAAGCTTTATTGAAAAATGAGATTTTTCCATTAACCCACTAATTCTTGAGCGGGTACATGCAACATAAAGCACAAGCTGCCTGTTGACTTGATTTTTGCAAATTCTGTGCTCTTATAGCAAAAGAGTTGCATTTAACATATCTACAATTTTATTCAACCCTTATTAAGCTACTCTAAAAATAAACTTAACAACCAATGTCAATTACATAGTCGTTATTACGGAAATTGTCTTCAGGCATATACTTGGACAGCTTGATGCTCCGAGGTCCTACCAGTTGTAGGCGCAGTTTCAAGCAAGGGGCAAAACACAAATCGATTGTTTATTTTGTGTTTGTTTACATTCTTCAAACCATAGAAATGGCTTCTACACTAATTTCACCCATGGTGGATTATTATAACGACGAAGAAGAGCTTGACAGCGTAGATGACGACGACGATCGCAGTTTTCGGGGAAGAGACTCGGAAGAAGGTAACGTTGAAGTAATCCGCGAAAACCTCGCTGCCCGTCGGGCTCTGTGTAGTTGCTGGAAAAGAAACGGAAATTCGCGGTTGTTGCTGAACTGTGGCTGTTTACGTTTTAAGGAAAATGTCTTTTTAGAGCTATGCTGTTCTTCGATGTATAGTTTGTTATTTCAGTGCAGAATATGTTTACGGTAAAAAATAATGAGAGTAATTTTGCTTCGTTCCAAAGCTAGAGAACAGATTCTGACACATGAAGGTAGCCTAGCTACATTGCTATACGTTTACCGCCAGCGTCAAGCTAATATAAATAACTGTTCGTGTTTTTCACTTGGAAGCGTCTCTTTTGGACATACCACTTAGCAAAGTGTCTACGTTTGAATTAGCTTGTTTTGCAAATAATTATTTCTAAGGGTCTGTGGTGACCAAACCCATCAAAATTTGAGATTGAGGGCTAGCAATGGACACAACTAAGGTAAAATGTACTTTTTTTTTTTAATTATTTTAAATAAAATAAGTTTGTAGTTTACGATATTTGTTTGAGCTGCCTCTCCTTTTAAAAAAACAATCGCGAAACAGGACTGGTACGGTAACGCACTTCTCTTCTTCCTCAAACGGTGAACACACCTTTAATTAGCCGGCTACGTAACGTTAGCTCCGAGCGTTGACAGGTTGTCCACTCCTCTGCCCTTTTCGCTCTCTTCAGTCAAACCGGACGGATAGCAGCGAAACGGGAAGAGAGGCGAGAAGAAATAAAGGCAATGGCAACAGTACAAGGTCAGCTAGTTTCCTGACACCGACTTTCAAGCGAATAGCCGAAGTTATTTGATCTACCTCACGATGGTTTTACGCTCCTGTCAGCTGGAATTGGGTTATCTTTTTTTTTTTTTTTTTTTTTTCAAACAAACGACAAAAGCTAACTTTAGCTAGCACGTCAAGGCTAACTGAAAATGAAAGCTGCAATGTCAGCTTAACTGGGCCTTCTTTTTCCCGAGGTTTCTCTCAGGTTTCGAGGGGAAAGCGGACAGATCTGAGTCAGCCGATGCTCCTAAACTTTATTTCCGTGTGTGTCACGTCGTTTAGCCTCGATGCAACATGCTAGCCTGGTTTTGACACAGTTGACAGCTAATAAGCCGGTCAGATTAATCACACCATGCGGCAACGTTCTCAACCAGCAGCTGCACCGTTGATCGTCTTGCTCTTCGTCGTTTTTATTAAATTTACTCAAACGCATTGTGCACTTTTGCATAGGTCAGCCTAACTTGTTTTCTCGTGTCAATTGGGAAATGTGGATTTCCCTTGATCTCCGTCAAACAAGCCAGAGGGCATCCCAGGAAGGATGTTCACCATTACCTCACTAGTGCCACGCACGTCCTATTATCTGCATACAGGAGACCTTTCCACTACTCCTGGAAAATCATATCAGAAAACATCTGTTTGCTAGCATAATAACACCTGAAACAAGTGTTTTATCAAATGGAAGTTAAAACAAAAAGTCTTGGGTATGCTTTTTCCAGACACTGAAGATGCGAGCGAGACGGATCTTGCCAAACACGATGAGGATGATTATGTGGAAATTAAGGAGCAGTAAGATGTTTTCTTTTGACTGTATTTTTAGCCAGTTTAAGAATAAACTTTTCTGCTTTATTATTAAGCTCGTAATGTTTGTGACACTTGTTGTGGTTTGCTTTTTTTTTGGCAGAATGTACCAAGATAAGCTTGCGTCTCTGAAACGGCAACTACAGCAGTTACAGGAAGGTAACATTCATTCACTTATTTGATTTAGTTTTTATTCAATAACCTATAACCATAAAAAAGCAGACACACTTTATTTGACTGTATAGAAATGAGGCTTCTGAAATGAATCGTTTGCCCAGAGCCGACCAGCATTGTTAACAGCTGCTCTTTCTAAAAACATTCAAAACTTTTCACAATGTTTCTGACATGTCGACTGCTGTTTGCATGCTTTTTGTTCCACATAGCCCTCTTTGTTCAGACCGTGGGAGCGGCTTTTTGTTAAAGATGGCTGCAAAATGTCACTGAAATGCATAGGCGTCGCAACCATTATATGTGAAGGGGACAAGTCCCCCCCACATTAAAAAAACGTTAATTTGGACCCCCCCACCCCCCACACTTTCAATATAAAACATTAGGTCAGGCGGCGCAGTTTATTTTTCTTGGTGAACGAATCCATTCCACTTGATAGGAGAATTCTCAAACCACTAAAACTCCACTCCAGGTTTTCCTGGTTTCCTCCAACTCTCCACGGGTCCCTTCCTGCCTCGGCAGAAAACGCGCACAGGTGGAGGAGATGGAGACACCTCTGTGTTACTCGCTCGCCAGTTTAGCAGCTTAGTGCGGGCAGTTGTTGACCAGGGGGTTGATCATCAACATATATTCATGTTAGGAGGAGAGAAGTGGAGCATGTAGCATGTTAGCAGTAACTGTGACGCTGTAAGACGCTGCAGGTGTAAGAGACGCCGTGTGTTCAGGTGTATTAAAGTTGAAATGTCTTTAAAACCCCCACACCTTATTGTCCTCAAGCTTCATGAGAAACATCATTTAGATGAGTAGTGTTGAACACAAGTAAAAAAAAAAAAGTCCAGTGGTGATGTTTTTTATTTCTCTATAAACACAAATAGTGCCGATCTGACGTATTAAAGTGTATTAAAGTTAAAATGTCTTGAAAATCCACAGCTGAATTTACACAAACTTGATGAGAAACATGTTTTAAATGTGTGGAATTGAAGGAAATCTAGGTGAAATGTTGCTTTTTTGTTCACTAGTGAACAGTTTTTTTACGTGCGCGCACACCTACACACATCGTGTGTCCCCCCCACACACACACACACACACACATTATAGATGCTTCTGACGCCCTTGCTGAAATGTATTGTAGACCATAGTGAAAGTCCAGGTACATCGAAGACACCTTTATTAAAAAAGCGTATTTTCACAGTCCTTGATGTAAAAATGAAATGAACACTTACCTAAACATTTAGTTTTTCTGAAATCTCTTATTATTTTGTTGTGCTTTACTTCAAGACTTCCATACTTTATAGTACACAGACAGTTAAGTTTTTTATATATATGTATATATATATATATATATATATATATATATATATATATATATATTTCTCTGCAGGTACGCTGCAGGAGTATCAGAAGAGGATGAAGAAGTTAGACCAGCAGTACAAAGAGAGACTACGAAATGCAGGCAAGGACACACAGTGATTTATTTCAGATTCATCCATGTTTCGAGTTGATTCTAAACTGCTTGGTACTTTAGTTTGGTTTGGTTTAGCCATTGAAAATAAACTTAGCAGACAATAACAGAAAAGAAAGCTGAATAAAAATTGTTAGATGAATTTGTCAGAATTGTTAGAAACAAAATGATGAAAGTCATGTGGCTTTGATATCGACACGTTTGTCAGCTGTGAAAGATGTTGCCAGATGACTTGTCATTCAGCTCGCGTTGCCCGACTATTCAAACAATAAACCCTCTGCCATGATAAGTGCATCAAGCTGTATAAATGCTGAGTGATTAGCGCATGTTGTCTGAAAGAAAAAAGATATTGTGGTTTTAGATAAACATTAATTTTACAGAAAAGTTTTCTGTTTTCTTGTGGTTATTGACAACACCAAAAAAAGATTTAATGTGTAAACATTAGTTTATAAGCACCATTTTAAATAAATTTTTGATATTGGGAATCTTGACTGGTCACATGATATGTGTTAGCCAATCAAATCTGTTTTGGGAGTAGCTATATTCTTCTTTTGTTTTAATTATCAATAAATGACCTATACTGCCACCTGTTGACAGGAATGTGCAACTTGTTCATATCCCTTCAGTCTGGGAGGCGAAAAGGAAGTCATGGATATTAAGACTTGTTTTATACACTCGAGTGAAAATACAATTAATGCTTCACAAATGGTTAAATAAAAAAAAAAAACTGAATGATAATGATGTAATCAGGCTTTTCTTTTCACTTTTCAGATTTGTTTCTCCAACTCGAGGTAAGCACTCCTTACAAACCCGATTAACTCGTAATGCTTTATCGTAGTTTGTATTATTACAAGACAAACACGGTTTTACCGCTCGTCTTCTCCGTTTCTGTGCATTCTTCAGACAGAGCAGGTGGAGAGGAGCTACATCAAAGAGAAGAAGGCAGCAGTGAAGGAGTTTGACGATAAAAAGGTCGAGCTGAAGGAAAACCTAATCGCAGAACTGGAAGAAAAGAAAAAGATGATTGAAAATGAGAAGCTAACGATGGAGCTGACAGGCGGTAATGGAGCTAAAACCCATTCAGTTGTCGAGCAACTAGTTAAAATGTTGCTTTTAAGTTGCTTGTGTGTGTTGGTGAGTTGATGTGCACAATTAGACCAATGACGTTATCAGTTTTCTTGTTATTAAACTTAAGCGTTCTCCAAAGGTTTGACTGAAAATTAATATTTAGCACAAAAAAGAATGAGCAACTCTCTCAGGATAGCAATTAAATGCAGAATTTTATCAAACAGCTTTGTTACTGGAAATTTTTTTGCTTTTCAGCTCAGTTTGTTTTTTAGTTTTAGAGTAAATGTATCAATAGTGTAGATCATTAATTTGTGATTAGTTTGCTGGAGATTTCGTACGGCGTCACTGCTTAAATTTTACATTATTTGTTTTAAACCGTCATATTTTTGTTAAATTTTTTTGTCATTTGCAGACTCAATGGAGGTAAAACCAATCATGACACGGAAGCTGAGAAGACGACCCAACGATCCAGTTCCAATACCAGACAAGCGCAGAAAACCTGCACCAGATATCCTTCAGATCAACTTCTGCTTTCTCTTTGACTTTTCCAATAAGTTTTTTTTTTTTTTTTTTCCACTTGGTGTTTAAAATCTTGAAATTTGCCTTCCTTGATTCTTCAAACCTCAGCTAAATTATTTGTTAACAGACGAGCAGATAATGGAGGATTTAAGAACACTTAATAAGGTCAGTGCAAAGGTTCATGTCCCTGCTGAGTCTTGTGTATTTGCTCAGCTTGATTTTAATATTTTAAACTTTCTGTTTCGCAGCTTAAATCACCAAAACGACCAGGTACGTCAGAGCTCACCTTATGTTGATTAACTTGCTGTGAGCAGTAGGTCCAAGCAACACTGAAAAGCTCAGCACAGATGGAATGTATCAGATTGAACGTCCTGGTCTGAATGCAATAAGGCGTTCTGCCCAACCTTACCAGGCTGCCTCCACAACCGTCAGTCCATCTCTAGTCTGTAACAATCTGAAGTAACCTCCCATCACATTGCAACATGTTGATTTTCTGCAGGTGGATTTAATATATTTAAATTCAACAGAGAGCACAGTTGAATGCACTTTGTCTCTAATGCACAATGTCCAAAACTATCCCCACACATTTCCTGACGCTTTTCTTTTTTCTGTGTAATTACTGAGTGCGTTTCCTTGTTTTCAGTGTCTCCCTCATCACCTGAACACATCCCCTCTGCTCCCATGGAGAACCCCCCCCAGCGATACGAAGCCCGCATCGAAGAGGGAAAACTTTACTACGATAAAAGATGGTACATGTCACGTGTTCTAGTCAAAACAGGCCTTTAGTTTCTTTCTCTTTTGTCACCACTAGATGGACACGTTGCCTTTAGTTTGGAGAGTTTGATCTTCAGGAACTTGGGATGGTTCTTTTGGTCTGTGCTACAGGAAAAGACGTGTAGGATTCACTAAATATGCACTGTTGCTTGAAGTCCCTAATAAAATCATATAGTCGGGGGATTTGAGTAGAAAACTAGTGCAGCGTGAAAGCATCAGACATGTCAGAACATAAAGTCCATTCAAAAGGAGAGAATCTGAATTTTTTCTTATTAGCTGCTGGTGTAGACAGAAAATTGAGCACTTTCCTTAAAAGGCAAAGTTTCATTTATTTGTGGCTAAAGACGGCGCCAACATCGAAACCCCTCCGAGAGTCACAGGGAGATTCACGCATCGTTACTCTTCTGTGTGCTCTTAATTATCAAATACTTTTGGCGTGAGCCTCTTTGTCTTCATTCTCCGTCCTTTGACAGTTTGGAGCCGTTAAACACAAATTAATCATTTTTTATGCTTTGACTTTTCATTCTAATTGTCCCTCCATTTCTGTCTCAGGAGGAATGCGGTTCGGTCAGCTGGGTGAAATGATGTTTTATGAGCGCCGGCGCTGTCTCACTACTTGCAGCAGACAACGCAGTCACTGATGCTTTGTGTGTGGTTTATGGTGACAGGTACCACAAGAGTCAAGCCGTCTACCTGGAGTCAAAAGACAACACAAAGATAAGCTGCGTCATCAGCTCTGTAGGGACCAACGAGGTGAGTTGTAGGTCCCAGCAGTTACCTGTTACTTCCCAAAAGATCATTTAAAGTACTTGATTTTAGGACTGCACAATATTAGAAAATCTGGCGATGAGTTATAAGTTGCCATTGTGATCATCGAAACCAGTGAGTCTGTTGGATTGGTCAAAAATATTAATACCAGAACATGAATTCATGACACTTGAAACAGAAGGACCTGTGATTTATTTGCAGTTCTTTGTAATATTGATATTCTGAAGATGAACAAATGCCAAAAATGTAACCATCAATATCATCTGGAAGTTTTTTGGCCTCAAAGTTTGATATGATTAAGATTCATGTTTGAACAATTTGAGAAAAAAACACGTTTAGGACAGATGGTATTAGTTTTTGATTATTTAATTTACTGGAAAATATCGATCAATCAACCTTTATTTAGACAGGTAAATCCCATTGAGCCTCGAGGACTCATTTACAAGAGAGACCTGATTTCAACAAAGAAAGATGACAACAGTGGACAACAGCGACAACAATAAACAGTTATAAAAAGTCATAATACAGGTTTTTTTTTTTTTTTTTTTTTTACAAATAGGATGGCTAAAAGGAAAAGGTAACAAAAAAAACAGCTAGATTCTAAGGCGAATGTAGAAAACTAAAACCAGGAACATGTCTGCATTGGTCCCTGCCAGGAGTCCAACAGATTCTTAAAGACACTTAGAGAGGTCAAGGTCGAGAGCTTCAAATCTTTTTGTAAGATATTCCAGGAAACAGGAGCGGAGTAGGAGAAGGCCCTTTTGCCTAGTTCAGTCCTCACTGAGGGAACACTGCAGGTAATAATGTCCTGAGAGCGCACGCTGTAGCTGCACTCACGCAGTGACATGTAGGAGGAGATGTATGAAGGCAGCAGACCAAGAAGTGATTTAAAGATGAAAATGTACCAGTGAGAGAGTCTGCGTGAAGTTAATGAAGACCAGTTAACCAGTGAATACAGGGTGCAGTGGTGGGTACGATAATCACAGCCAGTTATGAATCTTAGTGCACCATGATAGACAGCATCCAACATCTGCAGGGTTCTTGTAGGAGCGTTCATGTAAATAATGTCACTGTAATCAATTGAGGGAAGGAAAGTCACAGATACAAGGCGTTTTCTAGCATTCAGGGTTAGACAGGATCTGTTTCTGAAAAAGAAACCCAGTTTAACTTTCAGTTTCTTTACCAAGTTTTCCACATGGAGCTTAAAAGAGAGATGTGAGTCGACCAAGATACCCAAATATTTATAGGAATCAACAAACTCAATGGGGACACCATTTGAGGATAAAATCGGGGGAAGAACTGCTGGGACCAACTTCCTATTTGAAAAAAGCATCCCTTTGGTTTTGTCGGGATGCTTTTTTCAAATAGGAAGTTGGTAATAAATGACAAGTATAAAATAATGACAAGTAATATATAATGATAAATAAATGACAAGTTTTAAGTGATGACAGTGTGATATCCATTATCTTTTACCCGCTTCTTAGTTTTTGGGTCGCGGGGGTCACTGGTGTCCATATCCAGCAGTCGCTGTGTGAGAGGCTGGGGACACCTGGACAGGTCTCCAGTCCATCACAGGGACACGGAGACAATCAACCATTCACTCTCTCACTCACACCTAGGGACAATTCAGAGTTACCAACCAGCCTAACATGCATGTTTTTGGTCTGTGGGAGGAAACCAGAGTACCCGGAGAAAACCCACACAAGCACGGAGAGAACATGCAAACTCCACGGGATTTGAACCCGCGACCTTCTCGCTGGGAGGCAGCAGCTCTACCGACTGAGGCACTGTGTCGCTCGACAGAGTGATACGTCATGTTGAACTTTAAATTGTTATATTTAATTAGTTTTGTTGTGCGGTAAGATCTTTTTACTATGACTTGATTCACAAAACCTTTTTCCATGAATGCGGTACTTGAACTAGACATAATGTAATCTTGTTGTTTTTCGTCTTTAAAGCATTTGCAGACTCTGTTTACAGTAATCGAATATATTTAAATCAGTCGGTCAGTTCTCGCACTTCATTTAAAATATTCCTACGGGTTTTTTTCGGTCTTGGAGTCATGAACGTGATCCTTGTTGTTGAGCTGTTGAGTCACTGACTTTGTTATAATCTCATTTGGTTTTATGGGCACACTCTTCGGTGTATCCATCACATTGAGGCTGCAATGCTCGTGTGTTTCATCACATCAATGCAAAGGCATCCACATCTACATTGTAATGCATTCTGTCCCATCAGCACAAAGTACGGAGCCGTCACACAGACGACGTAGCTACGTGTCTGAACAAGGCAGGGAAGGATTTATTTCTCTAGTAGTTTTTTGAAAGTCCTGAAGTAAAGTCAGTTTTTAGATGTTTGAATGTAACATCTCTGTCAAATGGACACGGAGACCGTGCAGCCATGCGAGCTTTCGTGCTCATAAATTCAATGGCAGAACGTGTCATTTCAAATTGTGCTTCTTTTTTTTGTTGTAGATTTGGGTGAGGAAAACGAGCGACAGTACAAAGATGAGGATCTACCTGGGGCAGCTGCAGAGGGGAACATTCGTCATCCGTCGACGGTCGGCTGCGTGAAACATCTCCCCAGCTAGTCCCATCTGTTCATCTCCATCATCCTTCCATCTTTTCGCTTGTTCGTTTGGGGTTTCCCACGATGACTCTTCTCCTTTTGTGCCGGACTTTTATTAGAATCTTCATGCACTACCCCCCACTGCACAATAAAACATGTTTAAAAGTTTGTCTTCATCAATTAAATGCAACAACAGTATAAGTGATAATTACTCGTCTGGCTGGTTCGCAGTATTATTTCTCACTGCGCAGCGTGTTTGTGGAAGCGGTTAACGCTGCTGTCATCACAAGCTTTTTGAACACGAAGCAGTCCTGGTTAAATGTCCCATTGTCGTTCGTTCACACAAAATTTCTCACATCACAGAGAAAGCTGTGAAAACAGCAAGAACTGTCACGTGTTAACCGTAACTCCAACACTTGAAGTTATTTTTACAAGTACTGTACACCTTTCAGCCTTTGCTTGTTCTGCAGATGTTCAAATGATCTCTGGTAAAAAAAAATAATGTCCTGTTTGAATTTAAAAAAACAGTTGCCTTGTTTCGAGTCCATATGTGAACGGTCCACGTGAATTCAACTGTTGTTTGCATGTGGAGCAATGTCATTACTTTTTCTCAATGTTTCAGCATTTGTAATAAAGAAAATTGCTTTAATGAATTTGCATTAGAAGTTTACTGAAGAATAGACCTTTATGCTCTAGTTGGCTCTTACTTCAAACAGGACAATAAAAATACGATTGGAGTTTGGAAGTGAGCATGGTTTACCATAAACTTCAGATTATCTACAGCGTCCTAGAAATTTAGTTGACCTGGTGAAAAGTCCTGTTTTATCTGCAATAATATTGCAAAACTTGAGATTTTACTGAAGTAGAAGCCAGAATGAAGGATTTTTAAAAACTTTATATTGAGCTTTCTACGGATACGAAACAAAACGTGCCAGTATTGCTGGCATTCTTGAGATACTTTGGATGACATCTGTAGTTATTGGCTAAGCTTTTGGCTTTGATCCATTTTGTTTTCATGTAGCTCTTATTTCAAAACCTAAAGCATCTTTGAGTTGAGGTAATCAGGTGCTTTCAGGAAGTTTTCAGAGGTGCTGGCCTGCAGATTTAGGCCACTGTGACCCTTTGAGTGGCACACCAAAAACAAGCATAACAGTTATGTTGTCGCATATAAACCATTTTAAAAATACTACAACGTGAGAGTTTGTGAGCAGCACAGCATGTGTTAAGGATAACTCCATTACATCCATTATTTTTTACCTGGATGATCGAGCATCCATCCATTATCTTTTACCTGCTTCTTCCTTTACGGGTCACTGGTGCCCATATCCAGCCCTCACTGTGTGAGGGGCAGGATACACCCTGGACAGGTCTCAGTCCGTCACAGGGACACTTATGCCCCTTTTCCATTAGTACCTGTACGGGCCGGTACAGCCTGGCTCTACTCTACTCGGTACGGTACAGGTTGTGTTTCCATTATGCTTTCAGTACCGGTTCCAGTGGGCGGGGTTCAAATTGACATCACGGCCTCTCACCAGCTGGTGGCGCTGAGACGCAGAAACTGTTTTCAGTACAGGTTGAGAATTTATGTTATTTTGAAGTTGTGTGTATGTATGTATGTGTGTATGCATGTATACATGTGTATAAATATATATATATATATATTTATATATATATATATTTATACACACACACACAAATATATATGTACACACATATGTGTATATATTTATGTGTGTATATATATATATATATATATATACACACACATATATATATATATATCATATGTGATATATATATAATATATATATATATCACATATGTATATACACACAATTATGTATATATGTATATATATATATACACATATGTATTTATATACATATATATGTATTTATATATTTTCATATATATTTATATACATATATACATATATATGTATTTATATATATTTATATACATATATACATATATATGTATTTATATATATACATATATATTTATCTATATTTATTTATAGATATAAATATATATATATATGTATATAAATTAAAACTCTGATGAACCAGATTCTACAAAAACATTACATTTAAATTTTTATAGGTTTTCATCATCATTTGATGTATTTGCACTCATTGTGTCTACTTTTAATGTTCATTTTTTAATGTGTGGTTTTCTTTCTTGTTCACATATAAACATTTTATTTTTAGTTTTGCTTTAAAGTTCTTGTTTTGTGATTTGTACATTCGTGAGTTAAAATAAAGTTGAACTGAAGGTCGTCTCTTCTTTAAACATGTTTGAGGGAAATATTCCTGATATCCAATAGTTTTGTGTCTTTTTATGATTTTCAGCTGAGTTAACAGTCATTAAAGTGAAAACAGGATTTCATGATGAAGCTGGCACCGTCTTTTTTTTTTTTTTTAATCTTCAACGCTCTGCTGGTCTCGCACGACACTGCCCGCAGTCACACGATCCTCTCCTCCGGAGAGGAGGAAGCTGGGAGGCTCATCCTCACAGCTCCAGCTCTGCTGGTGACTCCAGAGGCTGTTCCAAGGCTCCAGCTGCGCGTAATCATGAAGGCTTGACCCGCGCAGACAGACGAACAAAGACGGGTCTGCGACGAACGGTGGAAGCGATTTTAAAAAAACTTTTACGTGTAAAAAAAATAATAATAATTTTTAAATCGCTTCAGCATTTTTTTAAAACAGTTTTTGTATAAAAACAAAATGTTATTTTATTTAAAAATCGCTTCCAGCGTCCGTCCCAGACTGTCCAGTCCGCCTGGCTGCCGGGTGGGATCGGGATTCAGCCTTCATGATTACGCGCGGCCGGGGTCTGGCAACGTCCATCTGTGAGTCCCCATCTCCAGATTCGCAGTGACCTGCGGAGCTCTGAGCACACAAGGCTGGTATCTGGAACCCGAGCCTCCGAGTCGGCACATCGAAGGATCTTCCGCGGTGACCAGCTGAACTTGGAGCCGGGGAGATGACGCCCTGCCCGGCCTGGCGCTCCGAGGCTCCGGAGGGAGGATCGGGGTACACCAGCAGAGCTCCACCCAGCTTGCTCTGAATTATGTTGTCGGCCACCAAGCACAAAAAATGCCAGCACATCAACATTAGACCAAGATGTTGTCAGTATTGTTTTAAAAATCTTTAAAATAAGTCCAGCAGCTGCTCCAGTCGAGAAATTGCAAATGGCGGATTATTGTTTTGAAACGTTTCTGAAGGATCCAGTGACTCCGCCCCCGACTCCGCCCCCGACCAACCAGTGACCGACAGTGTACTGACGTCACGTTTTTGTACCTCTTCGTACCGGTTAGAACCACAGAGCCAAGGGTACTGAAAATAGTAACAGGTGCTAAGTACCGGTACTAATGGAAAAGCCTCAGAACCGGGCCAAGTAGGGTCGAGTCGGCCCGTACCGGTACTAATGGAAAAGGGGCAATAGA